TGAAAATATAATTTATATTATTTCCGGTGCCGCAACCTTCTTATATTTTTCGTCCTTTCTCTTGGTTCTCCTCAAAAAAGTAGGAAACAATTTGTAATATCTAATAATCTGTAGGTACCTCTAATTCAAGGTTCCTGAAGTGAATTAAAAGCATCCCTCCATTTATTTTGTTTTTGTCGCTTCGGTTCGGTTCCTCGAATGCAACCTTATGAAGTAAAGTAAAAAAAAATTATCACAAATGAATGATGAGTATTTTTTTTTAACTTGTTTATTTGCAATCTGTAACAAAATTACAATGAGCAATTGGTTGGAAAAGAATATAAAAAAACATGTCAGGAACTTTCCTGCGAACGTTCCCATTACAATAAAATTGATATTGAAATTGGTTTAAGTATTTATTATAACGATGGTAGTGCCTTGGATAGTGCTAAAACCTATCAGGTAGATCACACGAGTGGTATCTACGCAGTCTTCTTCTGTACGGATGTGGACTCATTAATGTTTTGACCAGTGCGTTAGGGTGGTTTTTTAGACGGTCAGCGTATTTCCATGTTAGATTGGACACTTCTTCTTTAACACTGCGTATGTTCAGATCATTGGCTATTATTTTGTTAGGTACGTACCAAAGAGCATTTAATATAGTCCGAAGAACTTTAGATTGAAATCTTTCTAGTATTTCAATATTTGAATTTGAAGCAGTGCCCCATAGTTGAATTCCATAGCTCCATATGGGTTTTAAGATCGCTTTATAGATAAGAAGTTTACTCTTGGTTGATAAGCATGATCTACGCCCAATTAGCCAGTACAATTTCGTAAATGTTAGACCTAGTTGCTTACGCTTCATAAATATATGCGTTTTCCAGGTTAATCTGCGGTCAAGGTGCATACCTAGGTACTTAGCTTGCTGTTGCTGCTGTATCGGAAAGTTGTTCAGCATTACTGTGGGACAGGTCTCCTTTCGTTGTGTAAATGTCACGTGTATAGACTTGCTCTCATTTACTTTAATACGCCAAGTTTTGAACCAAGTGGATATCGCATTCAGGTTTTCTTGCAGTCGTTGTGAAGCAGCGGCCGGATCTTTATATGAGATGACAAGATAGCGGTATCGTCAGCATATGTCGCCGTAGTGACGTATTGGTTGGTGGGAAGGTGAGCTGTGTAGAGAAGATACAGCATAGGTCCAAGTACGCTTCCTTGAGGTACCCCAGCTTTAATTGGATACAGTGCCGTGTATTGGTCCTGGTGTTTAACTTGAAAGTGCCGTTCTTGTAGATATGATTTTAAAATCATATAATAATTGATGGGGAGTAGCTTTCTCATTTTAAACATTAACCCGGCATGCCACACCTTGTCAAACGCCTGAGCAACATCTAGGAAGACAGCCCAACAATATTTTTTGTTTTCTAGAGCTTGACTTATTTCTTTTGTGATGCGATGAATTTGTTCAGTGGTAGCGTGTTCTCTTCTAAACCCAAACTGGTGGTTCGGTATCAGGCCATTGTATTTTAATACTGGTTCTATTCTCTCGATAAGCAGCTTTTCTAGAACCTTTGACATAATAGGCAGTAGGCTAATGGGTCTATAAGATTTGACGTCTTCTGCTGGTTTGCCTGGTTTGGGTATTAGGATCACTTGTGCAACCTTCCATACCAGTGGAAAGTATCCTATTCTTATGATAGCATTGTAAAGCTGGGTTAGGAACTGTATTCCTTTATCTGACAGTTCCTTTAGAGTTCTGCCATTTATGAGGTCAAATCCGGGAGCTTTCCGCGCATTAAGGTCTTTCTGAATTATCCTTCGAGTAGCACGTTTAGTAACATTACGCAGAGGTGGGTCCAATTGGTGAGCTTCGTGTAGGAATCGTGCCACTTCGGTTTCAATATTACAATTTTCTTCCGGTACATGGGGCTGGAAAACACTGGCTAAATGATTGGCAAACATTTGAGCTTTATCAGCATTATTTTTTGCCCAGTTTCCATCAGCCGTGCGGAGGGGAGGATTGGATAATTGGGTCCGTTTTATGTGATTGGTGGCTTTCCACAGGGAGTATTTAGTGTCGGCTATCGAGGACAGATTCTTAAGATAGTTCTGTAGCTTATTATGTTTGTCGGCATTAAGTAGCCGTTTCAGTTCTAGAGTCGCTTTATTTAGCCGTGTTTTGTCCACCGGTGCCCGAGTTCGTTGCCAAACTTTCCTTAATTTGCGTTTATCTGCAATTTTTTGTTTAATAAATAGTGACACTTCATAAGGCGTTCGTGATACTGATTTGAAGGGAGTTGACGACCATACTGCTTCCTGGATGGATGTAGTGAAGTAGTGCACGGCATCGTCTATGTCGAGGTCAGTTTTTAGTGGCACATTAAGACTAAGTGTCTTGTCAAGTATGTCGCGGAAGGTATCCCAGTTTGTGTTCTTGTTACCCAGAGTTGGACTTGGTTCCTTCATTATAGCTTTGGTGCTGATGGTTATTAGTATTGGCGAATGATCGGACGATAGTTCGAAGGAGGACCTTGCTTGTATGTATTTTGGGATATTCCCTTCACAATGCCAAAGTCAACAAGGTCAGGAATCTTTTTTCTGTCTGTCGGCCAGTATGTAGGTTCACCAGTAGACGTAAAATTTAAATTACTATTTTCCATTGCTGCTAGCAGTTGCCTTCCTTTCGGTGTTATTAATCGAGACCCCCAATGCGTGTGCTTGGCGTTGTAGTCACCAGCAGCAAGAAATCTGTACCCAAGCGTGTTGAAGAATTGGGTATATTGTGTTGTTTTAATGATATGTCGTGGAGGGCTGTAAACTGCTGTAATTGTTAGTGGGCCATGCCGGTCCGCCACTTCTATACTGGTTGCTTGTAAATAGTCGGATGTGTGGGGGGCTAGTTCATGATGTTTTATTGTTGACTTGACTATTACTGCTGTTCCTCCATGTGCGGTACCGTCAGGGTGATTCGTGCTGTAGATGTATAGTTTGGAATTTTTAGATAGCTGCGCTTTGTGAAGTGAGTTTCAGAGATAAGTACTATGTCGATATTATTGTCGAAAATAAAAGTTTTGAGTTCTTCAGCATGCTGAGAGAGCCCATTTGCGTTCCAAACAGCTAGATTGAAAAACTTACTCATTGTGATAGTTTATTTATGACAGTTGTTAGTAGGTTTAGTAATGTGCTCATTTGTTCCATAAGGCCCTTTACCATGTTTTTTAATTCAGCAATGTCGTTTGAGGCTGGTACGCTAATTGTAGGGTCAGCTTGTGGGACTGATGTTTGCGGGAGTTGTGCATTCCTGGTAGCATCCGCAAAGCTTCTACCGGGTTGCGTAGCAGATGTATTCCTGGTTGCGTGAATTTCTGTAAGGGTTTGCTTTGGCCTAGAGGCGGGATATCTCTTCTCTTGGAGTTGTTGATAGACTGTGCAGCCTTTATAATTGGCAGGATGATTTCCGTCGCACAGTATGCATTTGACATCAGCTGATCTTTCCTTTCTCGGACAGTGATTTGTGGGGTGGTCACCTGTGCATTTCACACATATTGGCCTGAGTTGACAGAAGTTTTTGGTATGTCCATATCGTTGACACCTTGCACATTGCGGTATTTCACTTTTTTGACGAAGGGGCTCGACTTTAACTTTAAACTGCAGAAGGTACTCTAATTTGTAGATTTCTTTATTGTTGGTAGCCGGTTGTAAGTCAACAAAAAATATTGGTAATGGAGATTTGTTTTTGGGGTGCTTTATGTTCCATATATTCTCAACTGAGTGCCCCAATTCTTCGATGGCTGTTTTGATGTCGTTCGTATCGATCGAGTGGTGCATGTTTTTGAGAACAACCCTAAAACTTCTTTCGGTTCTAATTTTGTACGAATAGAATTCTGTTTTTTTCTCAATCAGGGCTTTTGTTATAGTTGAGTAACTCTCAGGGGTCTTAGGTTGTATTTTGACTTGGTTTGACTGAAGTACTTTTATTTCATAATTGCTTTCGGCTATTTCATTTAATAAGTGTATGGGCGGTGTTATATTTTGGACTCCTTGAACGAATATTGGGGGTGGTCTGGGGTCCTTCACAACGCTGTTTTTGATTGATTGTTCGATGTCCATGCCTAAACCTTCCGGGTTGCTAAGAATGTCAAATCTATTTGACGTTGTTGGTGCACTGAGCCAATAGTCCAATATTTTGGTTTGTTTAACTTGTCTGTTTTCTGGACTACTCCGTTGCCTTTTATTGCGGTTTTGAATTGTTGTCCATTCATTTCCATCTACTTCGTCTAAGGATGGTAGATTTGTAGATGCAGGCTGCATTCCAGGCTGTTGAGGTTTTTTAGGATCATCTGGTTTAGATTGCAGCAATTGGCAATCTTGATTGATGTGGCTTACTTCGATCATTTTTCTTGACTCATCTAAAGTGGTGGTGCTTTTGGAGCGGACTCTTTGCGCGGAAGTTTTCGTCAACATCGGCTTATTTCCGAAGGGGTTGTCATTTTGAGGATCTAATGTGTCTTTCATTAGGTGCCAAGGTTCATTTTATTCCAGACAATGATTTGTTTATTTGGCCTGTTCAGGTATCAGTTTTTCGAAATGTTGAATCGTTAAAGCGTGTGCAAAGCGATAGGCGCTCGACCCCGATCGACTCGTTGGAGGTCAAGCGCCTCTCAATGACCACACGAAACTTTACTATTAATTTTTTAAGTTTAATAGATTTACCTGGGGTTCCCACGCGTGACCCTAGGGTTTCTTCAGCGGTACTATCACTGACTTCTGACTAATTAACCACTTGCAAACTAGCACTAACTTACAATTTGCGATTGAACACGGAGCTAACAATAACACATCCAGCGCAGAACTTTATAATTTTGATGATGAGTATTAAGGATAAAACGGTGGTAGTTAGTGGGGTAATGGGAAACTTTGTCACTGAGAAGTGATCCTAAAATTCATTTCTCATTGAGGTTCCTACAAAAATGTTCCTTTGGAAATATACTGTACTTACTGGTCAGTAAATGGGCACCTTGTTTAATTAAAACTTTTTATTTAGATAACGGTCAACAGACATATTCTACATTAATTTAGTAATATCTTGGGTATGCTGCATAGGGGTATCCGTATCCGTGACCAAAGTAACCGGCGTGGTGGTAGTGAGCGGCCAATGGGGCAGCGTATGCGGCGACAATTGGTGCTGGTGCGGGTGCAACGTGGGGAACTTTCCTGACTACAGCGTTGAAACCGTTGATATCATCAGCAGAGTAGTCTACGATACGTTTGGTGCCATCAGAATCGTTCAGGCTGTATTGACCTTGTACCAAATCTCCATTTCTGGTTTCAACTTGGCTCTTCGAATCACCAGTGATTGGATCATGTACTCCATAGCTGAATTCGTATTGAGGATGAGGATCAAATTCGGCGCTCACTACAGTTTTTGCCAAAAGTGGAGCATGAGCGATCGGTCCAAGAATACCTGCGCTAGCGAAGGCCACAATGGCAGCGAGAACAATGAGCTAAAAATTGCAAGTTCAACAACTAAGTTAACGTTAATAAATTTTCTTTACCTTTCCAATCATGGTTGCTGTTTCGAGCACAATCACTACAATTCTGATACCAAATTCGTTTTCAATACTTCCTTATATACGCGTCGCCACCCATTTTACGTATTCAATAATTATCAAAGTTGCAGAATTTGAGAAGGTTAACCACGCCAAAAATTTACGATTTCATTTGTAAAAAAAACGTAAATTAGGAAATACTTCAAAATGTGTATCATAATTTATGTATATTATTTAAACCAGTAGTTTCTACCAGCGTCTTTGTGTAGACCTTGATTTAATAGGATTTCCGTTTGACGATTTTAATCCCTGTCAACTGAAATACAATACCTTGGAAATTTGGCCATATTAGTCTGTTGACGTTAAAAAACGTAATTGCGGTTTGAAGACAAATTTTTGCTTGGCGTTTTGTATTAATGGAATGCTATAATTTTCATTTCCTATAGTAGTATTGAAATAACGGGGGAAAAAAATACTGAGCAGTTACCAAGTAACAATAATTAATTGTTTAAGCTGTTTGCTTTTAAATTTAAATTTAATGAGCGAACTCGTTTCAACCAAAAAGTTTCGTCAAATTCATTGCTAAATGCGGTGTGAATAAACTATAGTGAATAAGGAATCCTTATTCAATGCTAGTAGGCAGTTCAACCCACGGATTGATACTTGATCTTTGACATATACCTGCGTCGCCGCTTCTCCCAGGATTTAGTCAAGTGTCGTGGGGATGCGTCCCTGGTAGGCTTACAATAAATAAGTATGAGATTAATTAGTGTAACCGGGAACTAATAATTAACGTGTTTTTCCATTCTTTTGAGGGAGTAAAAAAATGTATATTGACGTTTATTATTATACCGTAATAATCGTTACCTTAAGACGGCATGTACGAGTATGATTCTACAACCAAACAAAATTATTTCTACCAAATTCGTAGTATAAAGTACAAAAATAGCGTATACATATACCACTGGACCACAGTGCGTCAATATCTCTCTGGCGCTCCGCCATCGCGGAGTGACCCTATTCGCTCGAATCGCTCATGGTGTTGACCCAATACGAAAAAACCAAGGGCTCATTGCCAACAAAAAGGAAGACTGAGAGACATAGATCGACGGCAGGGAGGACTTTCACAAAGGTATATGAGCTCAATCTTAACCCTTCACGATGTCATCTCCAACCACGCATTCTACCCCGATCGGAGTGTTCAGAAGACGCGGTTGTTTACTTACATGTCCCTCGAGCGCAAAAGCCGGTCAGCCAGACTGCATGCTGAGATGCCACCCCTTATGATCGCACGCATAGATTTCAGAGAAACGTTTCTAATATGAGATCATCTCAATAATGAGCTTTGATCTACAATTATCTCCTATTTAATTATCCACTTCCCCTATTGGAAATACCCTCACCCTTCTTTACACTGAAATTTTTGAATCCCTCATTTTGTTCTCATGTGACTAGACTACGCAGTAGAGGCTGAGTAGCTAAACTTTTTTAAGAAGATGATGAATAAGTTACCTAGCTCGTGAGTGATTGCATGGGAGCCCAGGCAATGACTTACACTAAAGTGGCTAATTATTTTAGGTCAATTGAGGATTCCTGCACATTATTTCCGTAATTTGGGATATATCCTATTTCTATAACTCCACAATTACATTACTAATAAGCGAAGACCTTCATAATGAAAATCTTTTTTATGAAAACATACTTTTGTTGTATGTTTTGATCCGGAACTAATATAACTTGATAAAGGAGAGATACTTTTGGATTTAGTTTTCAGCAATAGATATGTAGCTTGAGTCTGCTGATGATAAATGAACATAAGATTGACCCAAATATTTTAAAGCGTTGTTTATACACCAAATTTAAAGAAACCAATCCAGATGTCTAAACCCTCAATTTGCTGTATTTATATATCACCAAGTCAATTTTGGCTCCCAAAACCGTAACCTATTCACGAAATTTTGTAGAAAAAACATACAAACATGTTATCCAAGAAATCAATATATATAATTACATATATATACATAATTTTCGATTAATTAATTACTTAGGTTTCAGATACTTGACTCTTGAGTGTACATACAAACGCAAAATGTCTTCTTCAAGCATTTTTACTTGTGATGGTTTCTTTATAATACCCACTTTCCCGCTTTACCCTATTTTAAACCTACTTCTCCTACTATTCAAGCCTCATTTACTTGTACTTAACTTCATCGTCATCGTTTCCGTACACTTCCCCGCAATCCTTTTGCGTCTTCGCCAACCACTCCTAATACGTATTCACTCCATTTTAGCGTCCTCCTCTTTTCTTACGCCACAACCACCCTCCTTCATGGTTTTTTACCATGTTTCTATCGCATTCCTTTCTTTCATACCTCTCGCGTTTTCAGGCACTTTCTACACTTTTGTCTAGCCTGTTTCTTTATACCTTCTACTGCCACATCGTCTTTTCCCTGCTTTATGTTTTTCTTACTTCCTTTCATTTACACCTATTTCGCACTTTCTTTACGACTTGCCCGTGCCTCTTTCGTACCTCCTTCCGGATCTTTCGTAACGCCTTACTGTCGCAGCTATTCAAGCCTACTTTGCGATTCCTCCACATCTCCCTCTAACTTCGTATAAGTATGCTTTCTTACTTTACGAGTATTTCTTACACACCCTCTCTTTCAATCCGTCTTCCTTTTTACGTCTTGAAAGGTAGTAGGCGTTTCCTTACGCCTTCTTGACCCCTCCTTCCGCTTTTATTCCGACACCATTTATACTCTTCGCTTCGTTCATGTCTTTTTAGAGCATGGTCTGCGTTCCTTCACGACTAATTCACTTACCTACTTCATTGTCCTTTTTTTAGCTCCTCCTTTTTTCACATTATCCTATCCAGGCCGCCTTCACATGCTATTACGCCTTTTTGATATCATTCGCTTTGCGTGTCTCTTAAATGGTTGTCTCTTCAAGCTACATTTTTTCGCGCCTCTTTTTAGCCCATATGCTTCTCTCTATTACGCCTTCTACTAATTTTTGGCGCGTTTTTTAAGAATTAAAAAAAATATGCCACGGTTTCCCTTTTGTTTGTCCGTCCGTCCTTCTGTCGTGTTGAACTACTTTTTGGGCCCCAAGTGTCCTGGATTTTGATGGAATAGGTAGCCTATACCTTGAAGGTGTACCAGATGGCCCTTTCATTTCGCTGACTGAAGGGGGAGGGGGTTCCATGAATTAATTCCTGAGATGATGTTATTAAAACAAGAGGCTGGGGAGTTGGTTTTGTCCTTCATGGTACTCTAATGAAGGGTTCCAAGTTCCAACCTTGGTTTCGAAAGGAATTAATTTCTGCCAACTCTAGTCCTCATTCTCGACTCCGGATCGTGATAGGATATAATTCTTTATATTTCAAGATTGTCTGAGGAAAGGTACTCACAAAGGGAGATTGAGACGTCTGAAATTTATCTATTGGTGATTTCAAAACTTTGAACAACGAATATCTCGAAAACGGTTTGTCCGAGGAAAGTACTCACAAGGGCAAAATGAATCGTTTGGACGAGGGATATCTATTGGTGAAGTTGAAGCGAATATCTTAATAACGATAAGTGTCGGAAGAGGGCAAGTGGAACGTCAGGACGAGACATATCTACTGGCGATGTAAATACTTAATGTGAATAGCTCGAAAATGTTGGAGGAAGGTAACTACAAAGGGAAAATGCAACATTTCGGAGAATTTCTCCAAGGGGTTGCATTCTTCAGTTCTTCATATAGCGTAGCTTTTGAATGTATGGCAGGCCGCCGTTAAATGTTTATGTGTAAAGAGCCCCCTCCCCATTACCAAGATTACATCGGTAAATATAGCAGGCTAATGCTAACCTAATCAATTACTAATCTATTTCGGTTAAAAAAAAGCACCTCTAAAAAGCATTATGCGGATCACCTGTAATTGGGCATAAGCCTGTTGAGGGCCTAGAACAAAAGGGGTAATAAATAAATAAATAAATAAATAAATAAATAAATAAATAAATAGATAAATAAATAAATACTTCTTTCCTTCTCGTTCTTTTCACACATTAAGTTAAGTGGAATAAATAAATAAATAAATAAATAAATAAATAAATAGATAAATAAATAAATACTTCTTTCCTTCTCGTTCTTTTCACACATTAAGTTAAGTGGAAGAACAGACGGCGGTAGTCCCCGCCGAACTGAACTTCGCCTTGTAGAAATATTTTATTTCTGTTTTGTTTTTGGAGAATTAAAGGCAATATTATTATTATCCCTCTTTCACACATTTTCCTTCCCATCTATTCTCTACACGTTCTTTTGCAGTTTCATGACCTCTTTATACACCTCTTGAACACAATTTGGCTCAAAGACAATGCGCGTCAAAAAAAAGGTAACCATTTAAAAGTTATAGTTTTTGTTCGAGTTGTTGGGAGCTGATTGGTTGGAGACTGAAGAGCAGAAGTAGAATAAAAATTTAATAAGCAAACCTATATTCGGATCACTAAGAAAATCAAGATATGAAGAATCGCATACGATTTTCAGTAAGGGTGTATAAATTGGACAGAGCATTATTGTGATACTGATCCCATAAAATTCCATGCCACCAATGATTGTTGTAAAAACTTGTAAATCGAAGTCTGTGTGACTCAAGCCAAATCAAAGATTGCGTCTTATATAATTAATTTAGTTAGGGTCTAGGCTAGGCTAGTCAGACAGTTTATTAGCGCAAAATATTTTTGATTGACACGGATCTAAACCTTTGCAATGTTAATATAATGGACCGCACTTATCCAATACCTACTCTTCTCATTATTGTACCAAATCATAGCCCCTCAGCTTTCACTAAATACATCAAAGGTCTAGGTTAAAGTTAACAATCAAATTTTATTCCTGGGTAAATTTTAGCTGAGGTCTCTTGAATTGTGTTTGAAAAAGACATACAATTTAGCATAAAATTCGTGCTTGATCTATAATTAGATCAAAAAGTAGTTCTTTTGTGAGCATTTCAGAAATAGGCATTATTGTTTTACCTATTGATTTCAGTTTAGGACGCAACCAGTTTTACGTTGTGTAATTATTGTGCAGCAAACTTTTGCCACGACAGAAAAGTACAATTGCACGGTGGTTTTTTTAATTAGTTTTGGTTGTTTTTATTGCAAACACTATAAAAATTCGTAAAGTTTCACATAAATTCGGACTTCAGAGATCAGTAGAAATTTATTATTGCATTATGTTTTATGTTTTCCTCCTGCATTACAATACTTTGGTTTTGCAGCGTCATATAATCGAATTACGTTTACTAAGGACCAGAAGTACCGATCAATGAGGAATTTTATCTGTGTACAATATACATATATGATGCCTCATTTTGTCGGTTCTCGAATATTCTATACACACAAGCCAAATATGCTTAATATTTCTTTGCATGCCATCTGTTCATAATTCCGTGCTATTTTGCCGATGATTAATTAAATTCAGTTCAGTGTTTTTTTTTTATTAAATCCGAAGCTACGACTAATACCATCATCAAATAATCTAATTATGGCATAATAAGTTCCGAACTTCCTCCATTAACAAACTTCTTCGTATAACTTTTTATCCAATTTGTATTAATGCTTATAGAATTTTCGCTATCCCCTGCCGGAGGGCCGATTTTCTTTACAAAACCAAATAAAAGCTGATAGAATGCATTCGTTAAACGTTACCTTTCGCAATTTGGATATTTGTGCATTACATTCGGTGATCACTCAGTCCTTCATAAATTTTGCACGTGCCATTGAAGAGATCACTATTTTAGCAAGTATAATAAAATTTCTGTATCTCGATTAGGGCTGGGCGATTACGGGTTTGAATAATCGATAATCGATTATGAAAAATAATCGATTACTTACACTAATTAATCGATTAATCAAATAATCGATTAATCAAATAATCGTTTAATCAAATAATCGATTAATCTAATAATCGATTAATCAAATCATCGATTAATCACCTAATCGTTTAATCAAAAGTCGATTGTCACATACAAGGAGTGATAAATATCTGTTTGTATGCATTAATACGTTAATTATTTAATAATAAAAATGAAAAATAATTCCATTACTCTTTTCATCAAATCGTTCATTACTAGGCAGATCGATTAATCAATAATTAACAAAGTGTCCCTGGTTCGAATCCGGGTTCGGGCATGGATATTTGCAAATGCATAGTGGGTTGGTTGGTAGAACAGCCTTGGGTGAAACCCTGCCCATTTGAAAATGAAGGTCAAAAATAAAAATAAATAAATAAAAATAAATGATTAGGCAGCTTACTCTCCGATGAGGTGTGCTTTAGTTTTGATGATAAAATCTTAATTCATTTTAGCTGCTTAAAGTGACGTTTTAACATCCGCTATAAAATAAAATAATACTTGTGAGCCGTGAGTGCTCCTTTTTGCGTAAACTGATGATCCAGCTAATAATAATCAATTAAAATTTACTTAATAATTGATTAATCAAACAATCGATTAATCAAATAACCGAATCAAATAATCGATTAATCAAACAATCGATTAATCAAGATTAATCAAATAATCGATTAATCGATTAATTTAATAGAATAATCAAACCCGATTATCGATTATCGTTTGATTATAATCGATTAATCGATTTTTTTGCCCAACGCTAATCTCGATTGCATAATTTACTATTTCACCTTGTGCTAATTTTGCTAAATTAGGTCCTCATGAAATTTATGGTAATTGATCCGTTACTTCTCATAATATTACCAAACCTCTCTTGGTGGAAGCGGTGCCAGACATCAATGTGAGATGTTACCGGGAGAATGAGCCAAAAAGAGGCAGATATAGGTTACACAACAATTTTCGGAACATTTTTATTAGTCCAACCATTCATTTTCCTATAAAAGTGCCCGTATTTATAAGGTAATGCCCGAAGTTGTGAGATTTGTATCTATGTAGGTAGTTTTTGTGTATTATTTAGTACTTTAATCTGCCTCCCTTGAACGAGATGGAAATACACTCATTTATATTTAATTCGACTGGAATAAGGATTAAATACCAAACAGACAATTAGGAGCGGGTTGTCAGTCGGGAATTTGTTTTCGCTGCTAAATTAACTAAAGAGATTAAACACGCTGCAAACGTTTTATATAAATTATAAGGGACTGGCGGACACTCGGAAGAAATTATCATCAAACGCGGTAATTCTGGTGCAATATATTTATTTAGGCAGGTTATTTCTGTAAGTAAGCTCTGGCCGGTATCTTTTATCTTAAATGCAATTTCGTTCTGGTTAATACTCGAGAGACTGGCGCTTAATCCGTGTAGAGAGTTCTATTAGCGTTGAGATTCGCCATAAGCCTTAAAGCAGTGGAGGTACATAAAATGTGTTTCTTAACTTTTAATGGTATTTTAGGAAACAATGTTAACTAGATTTATGTTGTTAGTAGTTTAATTAAATTTTGTTAATATATCGCACGGCGAAGACCGCGTTTGTGCAAAAAAAAAGTAACCACGCTTTTACTTGGACGCTAGATACCTTTAATCTCCCAGACATTGGATAGCTCAATCAGAAAGGATTCAATTTAGCGCACATGTGTGTGCGTTAATGAGTGGTTAGCTAACCTTCAGTTTACATTTTCCGGCTATTCGGAATAGTTGGTGCTGAAATTTAATTAAGGAAGGTTTCTTCATACAATTTGGATAAGGAAACACAGTATGTAATTACGCAAACATTAAGAACAATGAAGTACGGCCATGGAAAAGATTCCTCCTGTTTGCTTACCTCGACCGAAATGCAACGTTTTCTGTAGTACTTGACAGCTTTCAAGATAGAATGGGTGTGAAATATATGTTGCTAACGCACTTGTGCCATGATAGTAAAACGAGTTGTCAGGGAGAGTGTAAAATCGGAGAACGAAACTGGAGTTTAATCCAAACACTTCAAACTAAGTTGGGTGGTTAATATTTCGAGCAAAAAAAATGGTTTTAGCTTTGCATTTATAACGCTTTATAACTTTGGATGCTTGTAATGTGGAAGTAACAGACTATGTACATTGTACAGACGTTATTTGAGATGAACTTTACTGGCAATAGCCTGAATCATAATGTAACTGCACTCCGAGGTCCCTAGATAAAAGTTACATAACATTAAGGATAATGTATTAACAAAAGGTTACGTAACATTCTGCTATGCACTTACCATAGCTTTTATGTATCTCAAAAGTAACAAGTTATACATATCCTTTAATAAACCTTGTAATAGTAACGTTCCTACTTAACACGTGTGTCTGTATGCTATATAACATTTGCATTACAGTCTTATTATAGCAACGTACATTTAATTACGTGGTTATTTATTTATAATTGACTAACAATAAATTTATAACAGTCTTAAAATAATAAAATTGATTAATTTATAACAATAATTATTATTTTCTCACAAATTATTGCATAACACAAGCTCATCGAAGTTGGAACTAAACTCAAAACACAATTCGATTTGGTTATATAGCAAAAAACATTTTTTTCTAGTATTTTCCTTTATCAGAACGTCTACCGCAGTTGTCGCTTCTTGATTTGGCACAGCATATGCTTCTATCCATTTACTGAAATAGTCCATGACCACCAACTGTTTCCGGCAGCTGTCTCTTAGAAGGGGCCTACGATATCAATCTTTTCAACCATCTAGCAACTTGACCTTCTGGCATGGTCGGTACGTACGAGGAACTCCTATCCATATAGATACATATCGAAATGTTCAATCGACTAGCTGACAGCTAGCAGTTCTCCTGGTGATGACACAGTAATTACGTTCCGGTTTAGAGAAGGCTTTAATGAAATATCCGATTACGCTCTCGTGCCTAGCTTGCATTTGGGACAGTACATTTGAAATCTCTGTGGCCTTTGTTAACTTGGTCAACGGCATTGCAATATCGGCAAATCCACCAACAAATCGCCGGTAGTACGTACACAGGCCCAAGAAACTCCGTATTTCGGGTTTATCTTTTGACTGGGGTCATTATTGTACTGCACGAATTTTGTCGGTATTCACTGTCACTCTATTTTTCGAAACTAAGTAGATGACCAAGATACTTAATTTCTTTTTGGAAAAGGTTGCACTTCTTTGCATTCAGTTGAAGGTTATCACCGCTCAACCTCTGAAACACATTTTAGAGATTCTTAAGGTGTTCTTCGAACGTTCGATCAATCACAATTACGTCATCCAAATATACACAAAATAAGTTTTCCAATTTACACCTCTCAAAACCAGCTCCATTAAAAACTGAAACGTCGCGAGGGCGTTACACAATCCAAAGGGCATGACCGGAAGTTGCCATAGTTGATAAGTGTAGTGTGATGTCGTTCTCTCGTAAGCAGGTTACGCAATTGCATAATTATGTTATAAATAATTGTTCGCTTAAACGTTGTGTGATGATTAAGGACCTTGGCTTAACGTTTGATTCTAAACTGAACTTTAATACCCACATTACCACCATTTGTTCTGAGGCGTTAAAGCTCTTAGGCTTTATTTTTAGGAATTCAAGAGAGCTGAAATCTGAAGATACTCTGAAGACACTATATAATACACTCGTACGCACTAAACTTGAGTATGCTTCTGTGGTTTGGTCGCCAATTTACATCACCTACAAAATTAAACTTGAAAACATTCAAAGACGTTACCTCAAATATTTACTATATTTACGCCACGGTGCATTCCCAGAGAGAGGTGTAGATTATGGCTCTCTGCTTCTCGAGGGTGATATTGGAGCTCTTGAACGTCGTAGGGAATTTCATCAAGCCAGGTTTATTTACAACTTGATCATTAACAAAATTGACTCGCCTGCACTCTTGGCGCGCATTGGTTTTCATGTGCCTCAAAAACATCTCAGGAGGAACAACCTGTTTGTTTATAAACAATCCTTGTGTACGTCACTGATATCGCGTATGTGTGCCTGTCTTGAATCGGTTAATCGACATGTTGATATCTTCAACTGCAACGTGCGCGATATCTCTATCTGTTTTCTGTGATACTTGTATACTAGATTTATTTACATTATTTATATTTACATTTATTCACTTTCTCATCTGTAATTAGGCTCTGCTGTTAGATGGGAAATAAAATACCTATATTATTATTATTATTATTATAAACCTGGCCCTATGCTAAAGGCTGTTTTCTCGCGGCGTTCAGGATCCAGCTAGACCAACTTGTCAGTAGCTGCTTTTCATATCTAGGGTGGAAAACCATTTAGCACCCGTTAGAGAATCTAGCGTGTCATTTATTCGAAGCAACGGATAATTATCTTTATGTCGCTAATCATCTCCTCAGCTTCTTCGCGTTTAACCCATGGTAGTCTTTTTTAATGTTGTTTGATAGCGGCAAATAAACCTTTTAGCTTGATCCTTTTGGCTTGTTGAGAGAATGAGTTCCAGTTCTTCAGCCGAACAGGTGTTAGCGGTTAGGATTTACTAGCACCTTGCTAATCAAAATTGTTCGACACATATTGGTATAATTGGTTCCGTCACTCCCAAGCAGTTTTCCGGAGACTTCCATCCATGCGAACTATCACAACGTTCTCGCAGCACTCCGGCTGAGTGATATCATCCACAAGCGTAACACGTAGCAGCCCGTCTTCTTCTCTGTGAATAGGAAGTGGTTCACTCGAAGCATATCATTCTTTAGGTCGATCGTAAACCCGAACTTTCCTATCAAGTCCATTCCCAAAATCGCCTCATCGACAGTGCCTTTCTTAAATCCAATACCAATATTGACCTCCCAGCACATGAGCTTGACAGTTAGTTCTTGAGGTTGTAATAGAATTGTACATTTTTTTATCTAAATCCAAATAAATAAATTTTCCCGAAAACACGCAATAAAATAGTTTTTTTATTATACCTGAATCACAATCTCCGTTTTAAACACTCAAATGCGTGCGAAAAAAGGCCTTTAAAACACACGTGCTTTAAAGTTGCTAAGTAACGATACTTCAAGTATGACTTTTGAAACTGTTCTGTAAATGCAGAACATTTCTTTGGCTTGTACCTATCCTTTGGTTGAAGCTTTTACAAACGCGCGTAATTTAGGGTATGCTTCCAAATCTGTTCCACTTTTTAGTCCCAGCAATAAGTGAAGTTTTGAATGAATGCACCAAAAGATAGAAGATTTAAATACCTTTGACATTTCCTTCATATATGCCAGCATTATCGATGCATTTAAGACTTTATTCGTAAGTAACTTCCTATTCATCCATGGAAACAACTTTTCATATGCTTGATAATTAATAGGCTTTACTGGATTGAGATTTTACACCTACCAACGTTAATTAGATTTTACAACAAGCGATTTAATGGACGATGTATTATCTTTTTCAACATAAATCGTTTTATTCACAAAGACGACGATTTTTATAAGCAAACTTCAAGTGACATTTCCATGGCAATCGTGAAATTACGAACACCCAGCCCACTTAATTAGACATGTATTCGAGTATAACGTCAATATGATTTCATTGAATTTCCTATTTTTAAATTATACTGCAGGTATAATAAAAAATACTATAAGATACACGTGTATAATTGGTCTTTAAAGCACTTGCAACGTTAAAGGCACCCCGCTTTGCGTCGTGCCCTTAAACTCGTTGCGCGTGCTTTAAATACTTGATTATACACTTGTATCTTAATATACTATTTTGGTTACGCCACTAAAGTCTACGTAAAAATATCTAACATTGGCAGTTTTTCTATGTTACATGGGTAGTAAGATATGATAGCGTACCAAAAAGTTAAGCTTTTCGTTTTCACCCTGTATCTCAAAAACAAAGGTACCTAGCTAGATTGATTTTGTTTGCGATATTAAAAGTTTCACAAAAAAATGGCACAGGGTTGCGAAAACCAGAAGTCTCCATTTTTAAAAACAGCGGAAATGCACAGCAGTCTGTTACAGGTCCATTTTTAGTTAAGTTTTGCTTTAGTTATTTTGATTTTTAGGTTAGGAATTTGTTTATTTTGTTTTGATTTTCTTCACATAGGCGTGCCTATTTTCTTAAATTTCTTCTTTCGATTTCTTCGCTTCTTTGGATTCTTGCTCTCTTCTTACAATTGTATTTACCTTTTCACGCTTTAAACGCTTTTTCTTTCCTTACTGTTTTCACTATTCTAATTTTCGAAGCTTATGTGTACTATTTTATTCCATGTTACGCCTCTGGTCCGCTTTCAGTGTCATCTATTGTCAGTTCTTGTAAACCACGCTATTTTCCCGCTCTTTTCAAAAATCTATTCTTCTTTTCCCGCTGACTTTTTATGTTCCTTAATTATTGGTATTACTGTTCGTTTTTTTCAAATTCTTCTACGTTTCGTTTCCGTTTTTGGTCAATTGTCAATTGTATGGTGTGCTTGTGAGGTGCGGAATTTTTGCAGCCGCTTTCATCCGACAATTTTGGGATTTCTACCCTCGTCCTATAGTCTCCACTCATTACCAGGAATTGGTATTTCTTCCTTGGAAACCCTATTTTGGGGATTAAGAGTGGAAGAGGAAGCGCATTTGTGTTTGTGAAGTTATCTACAACCAATATATTATATATGTTACCCTTGCTCGCCGGATTTCAACCCTTGTGATCCGAGCTTTATTTCACCGTCCACCAATTTAATTGAGCCTACATATCTATATATTGTCTCTACGTTAAGGCCCACACCATCTCGGCCTTGTAGTTTTAGTTATTTCTTGTCTATACTTGTTATACGTACCTATCTACTACTAAGAAATCTTCGTCTTCGTCCATCTCCAGTCTTCAGTCGTCCGTCTTCAGTCTTCAGTCGTCGTCTTCAGTCTTCAATCTTCTTTCGATACCCTAAAATTTCTTTTTCCTTGTTCCCTTCTACCCGCATCCCTATCCTTAATCTACCCCGTATTTAGCCACTGGTCTACCACCGCCAAGTCCGCTGAACAACTGCTGGACAACTTCAGGAGCCAGAACAGCTAAGTTCAAGTTATCTCTTTACCTTAAAAAAAACCGTTAAGTTTATTTTAAAAAAAACCATCACATTAATTCAGCCACCCTACATCATAATAAGTAATTTAGTCAGATTTTATTGTTTTACTGTGAGACGAGATCTCGTACCGTTTTCTTTTTTTGCCGTTTTTCTTCCCTGTTATCATTCCGTGCCATTATCAATCATCATCATTCGCCCTACAATATCTGTGTTAAATTCTTGATTTCCTTGAAGAATAAATACCTTTTCTTTCCCGCTATCTTTCTCTGTTTCTTTTTTATAGTTTTACCCCTGCATTTCCAGACCAACAGGAGCAGGTTTCTAATTTTTTTCCTGTACGGCTTGGAACTATCGAAAAATTAGTGGCGCCTAAATTTTCGGAGCATTTATAGGTATTTCTTTCAGGATTGTCGAACCACCCCTACCACCGAGAGCAGCTGGAGCCGTAGTGCTGGGTTTCTTATTTCCTTCTACATAGTTTTCTTCGTCACAAGTCTCGACCAAAATAGGTCACACTGTACAGTTAACGCAAAGTAAATGCCTCCTTTTGAATCGCCGGATGCAATTTTGTATTGTACAACACCTAACCATTCAATGAAAAATTAATTTTTTATAAAATCATTTTTTATTCAATGGCTATAATTACCTGCTACAGGCTACATACAAAGATCTGCAACTTAAAGTGTAGGGTACCTCGAACTATCTATATAATATCATTGAAGAAAAGATTAATTATTCAACGATAATATGTACTGTTAAGTCAGACTTCTCTATCCCGTACCATCTCCTAACGCAAGTGACATTTTTCCACAGCGCTATTTATAGCTTCACTGCAGGACTTTCGAGGGCGACATCTTTTGTTTCTTCCCTGGGATTGCCATAAGTATTCGTCTCTGTGGAATCTGAAATCATCAACATATAAAACTGGCAAAAGAAGGATAACCGCCTCACCTTTTGGTAAAATTTGCAGATTGAGGAAATCAACCTCAACAGCTAAAACTGTTTCAGATTTATTATATTCAACTTTTTTAGGTACAAAGGTCACTAGGTTTGGTTTGGACCAAGAGGAAGTTGCAATTCCTGTGTTTGGTAAAACTGTAATTAAGGCTGGATCGTTCCAGATTTGTCGTACTTGGCCAGTTTCGCCAGCAACGCTATCGGACTAAAAAGTTTAGTACCATCTTAAAGACACACTTATTGTTCCATTTGCACAAACTTTCTTTGTACCACCCGCACGTTGGTAAGGAAGGTGTTGCAATGGCCTAAAAATGACTTTTCTTGACCGAAATCCATGTTTTGAAGCTCCAGGAATTAGAATCACACAAAATCTAGATCCGGTCGGTCGGTCTGTACTCTCAGCTAAACGACTGAACCGATTGGAACTAAATTTGGTACACACATATACTTAGTCATAAAAGGAAGAGCTGAAAAGCTTTTGGGCCTCGTTTTGGACAGAACGCGCATGCGCAGGTGTGCGGGTGGTATCTGTGCTAGCCACAGCAAGTATCAAAACTGTTGGATAGAGTCATTACCTACCTTACCGCTGGATGCCAGTTGTGTTACATGAGTTGGTATCGTTTACATCTTCATTAACCAAGAAGGAAATAGGTATCACTTACTTCTGGTTAGCTCTAATTCAACAAAAATAATTAAAGAACCTCCCCTTTTTGAGCTGTATATTGGCCACGTGAAGGTGAGTCCGGTTGTCCCCACTAAAAATATGGAACCTTACAACTGCTTGCCATTCAAAACCGCACAGTGAAATGTATCCGGACATGCTAAAAAATACATTCAACGTTTCCTTGTTAGCACAATGCAAAAATAAACCGAAAATAATGTAAGACGTACCTTTAAAAATGAAAATGTGTAGTGTCTCGTCAATACTGATCACGTTGTTGCTGTGTAACTTCTAATGACCAATGCAAAATATTATCTTAATAATATGTACATAAACAAGGTGTCCTTCTAGGTTACCAGACAACTTAAAATTTACTAAACTTGTTTAATAAGATTTAAATTATGTACTTGAAAACCGGAACATGACTGCAGGTTTGGTATAGCTTGCTCAGAAAAAAATATACTGAGTGGTATTAGCTAATTTAGATTACCAGATACAGCCGATATTCTCGTTCTAAGAAATCCGGATAAGTATTCGGTTATTCAGCTACCGCTACCAAGATAAGAGACTACCTACTTTTGAACACACCATAATTTTATGGTGCTAGCGCGTGGCGAACCGATTTATGCGATTACCTTACCAAGATAGAACATTTACTTCGAGAAACGTCGTCTCTCCCCGCTGTCGCACTATTCAGTACTCTCGTCTCTTTTGCACATGAGATTATATTCATTTTGAGGGTTGTAACTTTCCCAGAACGTAACAAGTATCCGAAAAAAACTGGCTCATTTCGTCGTACACACTGTTTATCTAACACAAATTAGTATTATTTTCGCAATCGTAAAATTTCAGACAAAATAATTTATTTTTACTGTCAAATTTTGAGTCTATTTACTCCTTAGGCACTATTTCTGTTCACCTTGTATAACCGTTACTAGTAAAATTGCATGCAACATTAGATGCTAATTACCACTAGAATTATTTAAAAAGGTGAAATTTAATAACAGAAATAATTACATTGTACAGTTGCTCATAAACTTATTGGTTTTTACATAATTTAGTAGTAGATCTTGGGTACTACGTTGTTGTAGGCGAGGTGGGCTCCGTATGGGTACACGCTTCCTGATACAGAGTAGGGGTAAGCTGCAGCGGCATATGGGTGGTATCCGTGGTATCCGTAAGCAAGAGGTGCTGCTGGGGCGCCAGCAATGTGGGCAAGACGAGCTACTGGAGCAGAGATAACGGTTTTGGCCGCAATTGGAGCCACTGGTGCAGAGAGAATGGTTTTGGCGGCAATTGGAGCAACTGGTACAGGAAGAATCGTTTTGGCGGCAATTGGTGCTTCAACAATGGCTTTAGCGAGAGGGACCTTGTTGACAACGGCGTTGAATCCATTGATGGGATCGGCGGTGTAGTCCACAATTCTTTGCGTGCCGTCGGATTCATCGAGGGAGTATCGTCCTTGAACAAAACCACCATCTCGGGATTCAACATGGCTCTTCGAGTCACCAGTGAGTGGGTCGCTTACTCCATAACCGAACGAGTATTTTGGATGGGGATCAAATTCTGCGCTAAGTACAGTTTTTGCCAAAACCGGTGCTACTGGGGCAATTATTTCGCTAGCTCTGGCAAGAGCCAAAAAAGCCGCAAATACTACCACCTAAATAGAGAAAGCAGGATTAGTCACCAATTCATTCAACTATTGAATTACTTACTTTGAAAGCCATTGTTCCACACAGTTACTTTACTGTTTCACGAATGATTTCGCAAGAGACCGATGATGCTTTATATACCTACGTACACAAACAAAAGCTGTCTGAAATATAATAAAATAATTCCGGTACCACATACCACGCCCAAGGAAGGTCACCTACGTTGATCATAATTTAAAGGTAACCTTTAGAAAAATGTGTGGACGACCGACAACGGGTTTCGCTTTTTTTCATTGATCCGCTATCATGTCATTAAGTATAGGAAATCCACATAATAATTCTACAGTTACAGACATACCCAATTATTATTATTCAAATTATAAACGCATGAATTACAATTTCTTTAACAATATTGTAGTTTAACAGTGATGTTAATGGTAATGTAATATAATTTGGAGCAATGATTGCAACTTCTTACTTTATTTATCGCATCTCTGCATTATTTATTTATTATGATTGAAAAGCACAAAATTATTTAGTAAATGTGAGTTACTGCATGCGTTGAAAGTTTACATATTGCTTTGAAAATGAAAAGCAATATAAGTTTTAAAATCGACAACTGACACTCGTAGATTTAAAAATCAATTTCTCTGGCAGGGTATTTCCACGATGAAAAATTGGTGAAGCACCAATAAACTGAAATTTATAAATTTTTGCTTTTCACGCTTGATTGTATATTAGAAACCCTGAAATTCAATATAGGTAATAAAGGATTAGAAAATATTTCTTCCCAACGTTACCATTTTATTTTAATATACCGTCGAATATTATGTCAACTGAGCAGCCTAAATAAAGAATATAAATTATGTTAAAAATTTCGAAGTTTGGCGGATTCACTTAATTGGCTTATTACAAAAATGTTCGAAAATTAAGATAAACTTAAAGATTGAAATCGAGAGCTTCAATAATTATTGATAAGATCAAAGACTCTGCTTACAGTTACAGAGAAAATTACATTTCCAGTTGTACAAATAATAACATGCTTAAGTTTTCCACACAAAAAACGGAATTTTAGAAAATGTAATTACTTTAATAGGATCCGATTTCAAATCTCGATTTTTTAATTTCATCTTTCAATTTCGCAAATTTTATAGGAATGCACTTGCACAACATTTGTATGCTTCAGTTTTTCAATGTAAAATTTCAATTACCTAAAAGCCTATAATGGAATCGATTGGACCTACCAAAGGTATACAATTTGGGATATTGGTATTTTGCCAACGACAGCGATATTTCAAGAAGAATTTGAGATTGATTGATTCTTCCTTCCACCATATCATTTTTAAGACACTTAACGAGAAGTGTTTTTAGGCAAGCTCTCTCTATGGTGCTTCTGTTGATTGCATTCAAGAGAACCAATAAGATGCGTAACCGTAAGAGAGAGCTTACCTCTTGGTATTCCCTTCTCTCTCACCTGCAGTATTCGCCCTTAGCATTGGCACGCGGAGTCCATTTCTATATGTCAATGTACACACTCCATTAGCTCCTGCACCCAAACTTGATGCTTCCACGTTTTTTACAGATATGGAATCAGCAATAACGATAATCACTGGTACTAGATGCATATTGGATTGTGCAAATACTCTTTCATAATAGTTTCTGTTCTCACATGCCCCTGCAGCCAATTGGACTCTCGGCTGCCGGGCGTTTTTCAGATATGGTATCAAAAATAATGATAAACGATAGTGCTCGACATATAACCAATTGTGGTTTGGGTTCAATACGAACAAAACTATTTAAATGTTGTTGTTTTCTGGCGCTATTCGTAAACACACGTGTCATCATAATCTAATATGCGGTGGGCGCTGTTGTTTGATGACAAAAAATTCGATATGTCGATCATGGTATTAAAGTCTGCAAATTCGATTCCAAAAATTCCGTGGCTGAGGGTGGTGGGAAAATGCTTTTTAAGTAGAGTTCCATTACAATCAATAAGCATTATTCCAAGTATCATCGACTTAAATCGTTATGATTTTGATATTTGCGACATTTTCAATTAACTACACTTTGTAACCCGAAGGCCCAACCTACAAATGAGTATAACTTTTGTTTGAAAAGTGATTTAAAAAAACTGTTCGACAATTTTGATTCTTAACTCATCAAGTATTTACACAACAAATTCCGTGGAATTGTCTCCATTTTCGTTGGTCGGCCAAGAATTGCAGTGGAACTTTTTTTTCGAATTTTCAAGAAATAATTCCAGATTCGTCATTTTCATGTTAAAAAATCCCCAAATACCAAATTATTTCGTCAAGATCAGAATTTTGTTTCGCATCCCCAAATAGGGGTGCGCCCTTTTGTGGTAAGAATTTTGAAAAAAAATTATGAAAATCAAATAGAGCATACCCGAAAACCTATTCAAAGACGTGCTACCTATCTTTGTAACTCTTAAGGTTGCTGAGAAAAAAATTAAAGGAGAAATCCAAATTTCACCAACGAAACACGTTGGACCCTCGGTTTATTTGGAAAAAATGCTTGTCTTGATCCCCTCTATCACCCATTTTTTTACATGCGGTTATGTAACACCATGGGTATTAATACCACTTTAATATACGCATATAAATCGTATCAATGGGAAATAATAAAAACATAATATTCCTACAAGAATACAGCCACACCCGCCGGGCATTTATGCGTATTATATACGTAGGGGTTTAGTCTACAATAAAGGCTTTTTATACGGAACTGTGTTGCTAGGGATACCTGAAACACCCCAATTCAATATTCACAGAAATTCCGGGCAAGTTAATCCTTTCGCTTTCTTCATAATTGTTTACCTATACAAGAAGAAAAAAAACGAATAAAAAATTACATTTCACCCTCCCTGCAGGTTTTCCGAAAAAAACGTATATTGAAAGGTAAATGAATTATACATGAAGTAAACTAAATGTTAGTTTTTTTTTTATAAAACTTCATTATTTGCTAGGTTCCAATAAAATATGTAGTATTGAATATTTTGTATTAAAAAATATCGATTTTACTCTCTGGTAATTATTGTAAAATACTATGAATTTCAAAATACAATTTAGAATTTCCCACAAATTGTGTATGAAATTAATTAGTGTTTTAATTGGTGGATGTAGATAGATACTGCTTGTAGAACATTTTTATTCTCATTTTAATTGCATTCAAAAGTCGCACTCCCAATAACATTTCAGTCTGTTTATATAATTTATAATGTACGAGTATGTTCAATGCAATTGTATACCTTTATAAAATTTGCAAATCACATAATTTCCATTCTAAGCAATATCGAATTTCTTGCAATAATGTTGCACTTCCTTCAGAGAATTCAGTACTAAGATGAATTACAACCCATCAATACATCTCTTTGATTCTTCTTTAAATAATTTGAGGCAAACTAACTATTTTGTCATATTAATTCAGTTAATGGATCGAATTTTTTACCCAATTGATGGACAAATACTATAAATGACAAGGTTACAAGGGCCCAATAAAAAAACCCATCCCCATTTTTCAATCGACTTTCAATTTCTTTCTTTTAAAATATTGGCTATGCGTTGTCGTCTGTCGATAACAATTTTCACAAATTGTGATACTCAACGTCATAAATGAAATGTACAGCGGAAAATGAGCGAACAAGTGAATATCGGAATTCATGAAAGTAGTCGGCGCCATCTAAGATTTTTGGCAGAGCATTCTCTTAAGCCTGATATATACTGAAAAAAATATAAGATATAATATCATAGAGTAAACAATTTTATTTGTTACTATCAGTTGAAAACTCTGATTAACAAGAGAAAACGCAAACGGGTAAACGTCATGTTTAAACGCTACTGACTTGTAAAACTGACAGCTGACCTGTAAAAATTTTACAAGTTAGTAAACTAGTAATTTCATTGGCCAGAATTAATGCGAAGTCTCTGTTACATGGATCACATGATATTTTAGACATTTCTTCGAGATCAATTTAAGAACTAATTATTTACGTTTACTATTGTTTACAAATGAGTAACAAATAAAATATTGTACAATATACGCCAGGTAATAGTTTTTACTGGCTCTAGGAGATGACAGGCTCGCCTCACGGCTCGCCAGTCAACTTCTCCTATCGCCAGTAAAAACTCACTTACCTGGCTAATGTAAAATACTATTACTGTATAATATAGTCAAGTGTTATCGGTAAACAACATTCCAGAATGCCAAACGTATGGTATGATCTTTTGAGAATGCACGAAGAGTTTATACTCGTATTTGGCCTAAATTTACAAAGCAGGCACGTGAAATCTAGATTCTAGGTTTCTTTTAATTAAAGGGGTTCGTTAGTTAGGTACAAAAAAATTAATAATTATAATTATGCATACTGATTCACGGCGCAGTAACACTACGTTATGCCGTTGTTAAAATAATAATCTGAAGTAGCTACGTTCATTAGCAATTAAATTAAAAACGTTTAAATTGTGTTTATTGTAGTATATGTCAAACACCACTTATTTTAAAGTTAAATGCATCGGAAAAGCAGATTGAATTTCAAAATTCAATTGTTTCATGATATTGCTAAATATACCATCTCTCTGTAACGTTACACCCTTCGACCACCCATTAAGTTGCGGTTATATTACACCAATATACTCTCTCGTTTTGTTCCCTTACTATTGGTGTATATAGATATGCAATTAGACTGCGAAAAGTGAAATTATACGAAGTTCTCGCATATTATTATCTCACCCGGTTTTAATTACTCATGGAAAGGGTCGCACATTTTCAAACTTGCAGTCTATCCTAATAACGCTCCATTTTCGTAAATAATTCACGCTTAATTAAAAATTTTATTAGCTGGACGCATCAAAAGTTTTTAACAAAGTTCATACGATTGACATTACAACTTTTCTCATACTCCCTGTTACATAATGTATGTGCAAAAATGTATTGAGGAATTTTTTGTGAAATTGACGGAATGCATAATATGGGTATTATATATAGAATTTGGATATACCCCTCGATATACCATATAGTGAATTCATAATATTATGTTGGAATTCTTTTTTATAAAGGGCATTCTTAGCTTACGCTATTCTGTTACTTTGATTTTATCGGCATCGACAGACTTTGGCGTAACCTATCTTCTACATTTAAATATAATTCCCTCCATAATGTAACTTCTTCTCTATCCTATCTCTGGTTAATCTTTATACCACTTAATTAAATTGGGCGTGGTTCTTGATATGTAATTATAGGTAAGTATAAGGAAAAGGGTAAACGGATAAATAATAACTCAATAATCTTTATTAAATTATGAAGCGGTTTTTATTTTCATTAAGGTTTGAGCGAAACAATCCTGAAAAGTAAGGGGTTAAACAACATGCATTCGCAAAACAAACTTCGCATTGATAGGAACTATTCAAATTTATTTACAAATGAAACAATCTCACTGCATAATGATTGACCGTCAGGTACTAAAAAAATGGCGCGTTCACACTATTTACACTCATATTTATAGATATCCACGTAGTAAAATCTGACCTAATACGCGCTTTATTTACGACGGATTGTATAAATACGAGGGACGCCAAAAAAGAAATCTACCTTGCATGAAACAAAAGACATACAATTATTTATTAATTTATTTTGTTTTAACGAACTGTGGGAAAAACATTTCTTCCTTGTAAAGAAAGTCGTTAATAGGCTTTCAATGTTCCTGTTTCCACCGAAGCTGTTTAGCCTAAAATTTTACCACATAATGCGATGGGGCATCCTAACCATTCTTTCACAAATCGTTTTTGACTAATGCCCTTCTTTTGTCGGAAACTTTATGACGCTGCGATGCTCGAATGTCAGGGATATTGTCGCACAAAAAACCGCATAAAGTGCATGGTAATTGTCACAGTCAAATATGGGTGGTAGAGTACGAAAATCACCAAAACAACAAGCGGCTACGTAAAATTTAACGATTAACGTCCACCACCAAACAAACCACGATTAACGTCCACTACAAAAAAAAACCACGATTAATGTCCGTCTCTTCTATTTACAATTTCCCTTTATTTTCAACTTTATGAACCATCTCTTCCGTCTTATCAAAATTACTGCGTCGTCGAATAACAAACATATATCATTACGACGGCGGAAAAACATTTGCTTATCTATCTTAATTAGGTTACGCAGCGATAACAAAACCTTATGACGAGAGAGAACCCTAGTTAGTTTGGAACACATTGAGTTTAGACAACAACCAGGATGACCTTCAGTGAGTTTAGATAACAACCACGCTTGGAGTTGGCGCATGCGCAGAACTCAAGGTCAAAGTGAGATCAGTGTTGTTAAGCTACTAACAATTAATATATTATTTTTACGGTTATGAAAGAAGGTTTAGTGGAACATGTCTTAAAAATCGAATATCTTTATCAAGAGGAGAAAGAGCAGTTTTGAGAATAGGAACATGAACCTCTTGTCCTACCACAACTACCGTGGGATTTTTATAGGCTTCCTTAATAGCAGTTTGGACAATTAAAGAATCAGCATCATCTATGGCAGAAAGTGCTTGGATATCAGCACATTCCAAAACGTGTGTGCAACATCGATGATAACGCGTTCTATTATTAACGTCACATAATAGTAATTTACCCAAAATCGTCCTGAAACCTTAATTTTGATGTCTATACTCTCTGTCAGGAAATTTGAGTTTCCTTGACAGAGGCAGAGCAGACTGCATTTCCTGCCGCTTGTCATTTTACTGGCCGCACCTATCACTTTACCGGTCGGACCCTCACTTTACCGGCCGCATTTGTGACATTTCCAAATGACTCCTGTCATTACTGACAGATTGACATTAATAAAAAAATTGAAATTATATATTAAAATACGACTTCGGGTAAAATTTAATACAAAACTCGTCAGTAAAATGACACTACCTGACTCGGAAATTAATATTTAATTTAATAATAGTTATGTATTTCATACTGGCTCTGATTTATAGGGAAAAAAAGTACAGGACAAAATTATGCAGAAGTTTATAGGGAATATTTTAAGTTGTATCCATCTTCATCGCCAAGGTTGAAGTTTTCGAGAAAAATTGACAACACCAGTGCGAGGTCGCATTACCGGGTGGTTTTTGAAGCAAAAGAGCATGAAGCATCCCTCTGAGAGGTGGGAACTCTTCTAATATGTACCTATTTGCTTGTCTGTAAGGAGTTCCCACAGTTTCTTCCTATATGTCATTTTTACTGCTAATTTACGTCGGCTATAAACACTCAATTTTTATCAGTGGTTTGAGTGAATTATCAAAAATCCCTATCAGTCACAGTGTCACTAACATTCTTTTAGAGTTTTTAGTGCACTTTCACTTTGAAAAAATAAAAAATGCACTTTGTCGCTGATGTCTGTCTGTCTGAGTCACAGAGGCTCCGAAACTACACCACTTACAGACTTGGTATTGGTGTCATTCGATCAGATCTACAAAAGCATTATGCGGGTCACCCTGTAATTGACCGCAAGCCTGTCGAGGGCCCAGAACAAGAGAGGGATAATAAATAATAAATAAATAATCAGAAATTAAAAATTATTTCATGTTTGTATTTTCGTTAAGGCACGAAATGTCCATAAAGGCTATTCAAATCGAAAAGCAAAATTTGAAAGTGCGCTCTTCTTCTCTTGCTCACAAGCGGCTTAACGAATTTTTTCTTGTATTGAAGGCTAGTTTTCGTCTTTCTAGTCAATTTATCTGACACGCGATTGTTTTATTAATTATCTCCATAGAAGTAGGTAAAATGTAAGTGATACATACCCCTTTGGAACAAAGTCGATGATCTGGTTTCGTTATTCTCATCTTAGACGAAAATAACATATATGCTTAATTTATTCACCGTTCGATAATTTTAAATGACAAGTAACTACCATGTAAGGTGATCATCAGTTACGAATATTATGATGAATAAATCGAATGTTAGATATTTTTAAAATTTGGTAGATGAAAATTAGGAATTTAATAATGTGGCAGTACACCATAACTGCGAACACCAATAAATTATAATGCCAACATAAAAATTAACAAAATATTGCTCTTTGCGTGGGTTATAGCAATTTCGCACTTGCCTATCGTTCGGAAATATATCTAGTACTCCTAATACATAATTTTATTCACGAAGAGTCGTAAATCACGTGTCCTAAATAAGGAATGAAGGAAGTGAGTTATACGCATTCGAGACTGTTCATCACATGTGCGATAACTAATTTATAATGAGAAATGTTTTGCTTAAATTCGAAATTTATATTGTAATTTATGCACCTGCAACAGCTTACCGACATTTATCAAACCGATTAATTCCTTATTATTTTATATTTCCAAGTTTGCTACCTAGCTTAAAGTTTTCGTCGTTGTGCAGCGACAGAATTCACCCCCTACTCTCGAAAGAACGTGTTGATACTATGGCGCGGAAACTTTAATTAAGTTTAGTACCTCCCGGTAATAAGGGATTTGATTAGAGTAGTGCAAGCGAGAATTTATATCCAATATTTCGTATTTAATGCACCTCTTCACATAATTAAATGCAGGCGAGCTATATTTACTTGCGTAATCGAACACAAATTTATACATGGGTACATTTTGAATCTAAACTAGTTTTTTTGCATTGAGGCGGGCAATTTAACTTTTTGCAATTAATTTTTAAATGTTAAGGTCGGATAGCACTGTTCTTGCGTAAATATCAACGACCTGACTTATTTTTAAATGGTAGCGAAGGCTTTGTGTACCTTACTGCAAGTGTCCTTATTGATGTCTTTTTTTTTGTTTCAGGTAAGTCAATTTCTGGAGCTTCCTCTGTGGTAGAAGTGTCTTAAAGGTATGAGTGCAAGCAAATTAAACCTTATAAGTTCATTATTTATTAGTACACAGTACGTGCACGTCTATTATTTACATATATACAGTTTTATGGTATGGAAATTAATAAACTGCGTAAGGGGAAGCGTAAGCCACCCTAGCAATAGAATAAGGTGATACTATTGGGGCTGCAGCTAAAGGTGCAGTCAGTGCGGCTGTATAAGCGTGTGCGGGTGCAGCTGCATAAGCAACTCGAGCTGGTGCTACAAGTGGAGCATGTGGCGCGGCTACCACAGGGGCGACTGGAGCAGGGGCGGCTACTAACGGCGCTGGAGCTGCAGCAACCACCCTCGCAGGTGCAGCAACCACGGGTGGTGCTCTTGCAACGATTGGCGCAACTACTTGCGGTACCTTGTTAACGACCGCGTTAAATCCGTTAACAGGATCTGCGGTGTAATCAACAATTCTTTGGCTTCCATCGGGATCAGCAACGGTGTACCTTCCTTGGACTAGTCCACCATTGCGGGTTTCTGATTGACTCTTTGAGTCTCCAGTTAAAGCGTCATGTACGTCGTAAGCAAACGCATATTGAGGATTTGGGTCAAATTCCAAATCCGCTAATTTCGCCGCGACTACCGGAGCTGCGACTGGTGCGATCACGCCTGATGGGTGTGCGCCGCTTAATGCCACCAAGGCGGAGAATAAAACCATAAACTACACAAAAATTAAGATTAAAATCACTAAAGACGCGCACTAACTTCACAATACCAACCTGAAATTCCATGTCTTCCTGGTTCACTAAAGACTGCAAGCGATGAACTGATAACGATTCAATGTGCGATGTCCTTTTATACTTATTTTGGGTTTCATAACGTATAGCTCATCGTTTGAATATAAATTACGTTGAGAAATTGAAGTGAATCTATAAGTGAACACGTTTAAGGACAACCTGCATAAAATTAATTTTCTTTCTGTATCACAATTAGATCAATATAATACGAGTATATAATTCGTAAAAGCGATTCAGTATTGTGGTTCGTTTCGTGTATTTGGATTGGTTACATCACACATTGAAGATATACCCCATGACGTGTCATGTTGAAAGAGATTTGAATGTCAGACTTCGAACAAGAATTTTTTGTTAAAAACTCCCTGTGCCTCCTTCATTTTTTGTGTATTGGAAATTGTTATAGAAGTGTTTAATATCAAATGTGGAATGTCTGTACAGGGTGTTAATACTAAGTCGTTACACCTGAAAACGGCAGTTAGCACTGATTAAAACAGACAACTTTTCTTAGTTCCAATTTTTGATTTGGTGCCCCGGTTCGAAGTTATTGCCGTTCATTTCTTTTTCGAAAAATCATCATACCTGCACTATTTTCAGGACTATTGAAAAAAAAACAAAAATTTCAAAATTATCTTTCAGCTCTCTAAAACATTTGTATTCGGCAATTACTTTTTATTGTGTCAAATATCAAAGTATCGACCGATTTACAATTTCACACGATTTTTTTGAAAACCACCCCTAGCGTTTTGAAAGAGAAACATTTATAGAACCTCTAAACCTAGCTCTAAACTATCTACTACAAGATTTGTCCTAAACCTTTCTATTTTTTTTTATTCCAAATATATACACCACACACATTGGATACGCGTTTTTGACGCGTGTTTGTGGGAGAAAAATAAGGCGTTTCCATTGGAGACGCTAGAACAGAATTCGTTGTGGACTTAAAGGAAGCTTATGTACAACTTGGAGAAAACGTTGGGAAGAACTTGAATAGTATACGAGTATAAGGAAAACTTTAGAGAATACAATAAATTAATCTATTAGTTCGCCAACCTATGTCATCGTTCTATTTTTCCATAATTCTTAGAGAAATTAAAGATAAACCTGACGAGAACTTAAGATCAAGAATGTTATATGAATTTGAGAGAGCTTTGAGAAGTGAAAGGGATGAACTTGGAAAAAATAGGGCGCCCAAAATTATATAACCAATTTTGTTATTTTCGGGCCTGAAAAAGTTAGTTTTTTTAATGTGACACCCTATATCTGTTACTGTTTCTGCTAAAAATCACATTACAATGGCCTAAAAAGAAAAAAAGAAATAAATATAGACACATTTATAGCGGACCAATACATAGTTATGCATTCGACCATAAAATAATAAAATAATCATTTTCAACCATGAGAGGATTATATTGGTTATTAAATGGTGAACACCCTATATGCAATAATTAAATTACCAACGTAGATTTCAAAATATCCGACCTCTGCGCATTGTTGAAGATAAGGCAACACCTTTAAAAATTAAGAGTTGACATTTGGTATAGGGAAACCTGATGAAACTCAACACATAACCCAAAAATGAAACAATAATTGAGTGTTACAAATTAAAATAAATTTGTAACACAATTAGACCCTCTTCCTGCATCCCTATGTTCATCTTACGTGTGGGATGGCTTGAGTGATGAGGGGTCTGACGACTCTAGTCAGAGCTGTAGGTCATAAAGCCCGAATTTGAGTAAACGATATCCTAGGTCACTGAAAATTAAGTCAATTCATCCAGTGATGACAAACAGCGGAAAACAGAATTGGAAAATTCGAAACCTTTCGCGAGATATCGGTTTGGTAGAATCGCCGTCTTGTAAAGGATGCTACATGGACGACGAGACAGCACACCACATTCTTTGTGAATGTCCCGCTCTAGTCCAACTAGACGATCCGCTGCGGGTATGCTGGACGGACATGGTTACGATCCTTCCTGCACCCTTAAGTTGATCTGACGTGTGGGATGTCTTGAGTGACGTTGAGGGTTCAGACGACTCCAGTCAGCGAGGTAGTACAAAAGGCTCGAGTTTGAAGCCTAGGTACGCGTGGACCCTGTGTACCTTCCTATAGTAATCCAGAACCCAAAATTCAGAGATATCATGTAGGCAAGCGGAAAAACAAACGGACGACCAGAAAGTCCAAAACCATGAACTCGGGTATGAGCTAGTTAATAAAAAAGTTAATGACGACTTCCGGTGTAACCGGTGTACCTAACCTTCAAAAATATTTTAAACTGAAAGAAAATCTTAAGCAAAGCTGGACTCCAAGAATTCCAATGGGATAATAGAAAATTAAAGTTAATTTTACGAATAAAAGTTATTCCCCATAAAGATTTATTTAAAATTGTGGCGAGCATTTCTATTCCGTTTTTTCATAGTTTTTATATCATTTCCTGTATTATCTTGTCGTGTCCTGCTGGTTTCCCTTTTTTTTTTAGCGTTTTTACTTTCTGTATAACTTCTTCCATTGTTATAACATCTCGTCTCGTTTTCTATTACTGTCTCATTTCTTGAATCTTTATTCGTAGTGCCGTGTTGTCTGTTATTCCCAAGCAGTTCTTGAAAGTACTTACTCCACCTTTCCATTACTTCTCCCTCCTCTGTAATTATTTTGTTGTTTTTGCCCTTTAAGAGCATGGGTTTATATTCTTTAGGTTTCTTCGGACTTTTTAATACCATATAGAAGAGCTTTTGGTTGGTTATCTTATCTTCTTCCATTTTATCACCGAACACCAGGATTGTCATTTTGCCTCTAGTATCATGTTTTTTTTTTACTTTTACTCGTTGTTGCTTGTATTTCATATAACTTTCCTCTGTCTTTCTGACCAAGTATTGTTTCCTCTGTCCTTTCTTGAGCTTCATCTCTCCTCTGAACCTTTCTTGTGTACCTATGTGTATCTTTGTGTTTGTAGTATGCGTTTACTATTATTATGTTTATATTTTCCCACGTGGGCCGAACGCATCCGGTGTTTCCTTCATCTTTTTTCCCACTTTGCGGTTCAGATCTCCCATGATTATATGTCTCCCACAATATTTGCAACATTCTCCTACAGTACTTCTCAGAATTCATCCTTTTTATCTGCGATTTCTTTTCATTTGGTCCATATACTACCAATATTGTTCTGCAATTCTGTTGGTGTAATTTTACTTGTAGTTTTAGCATTCTCTCAACAATAAATTTCCATTGAATTAGTTTATTTCCATGTCGTGCACTTAATATGCATGCTACTCTCTCTCTAGCTCCGTGTACTCACTTACACCGCTATATAAGATATCTATGATCACCAATTTTTGGATGGGAGTAACCCTTTACCTAAGCTTAAAGCGGTAGCAAAATCGATTACTGGAAATAATCGCATACACAGCACTACAACATAGGTCGTAAACTAACGTTTATAAGTTACACAATTATAGGACCATTATTACTATTACTCCAAAGATCATACTACACTAGATAGCCAGCGTATATGCAAGAGTTGTTTCGGGTTTAAGTAGTTCCATAAAAATATTTATAGGGGGCTTTCAAAGTTAAGAACGTAACTGATTCATCCGAAGCCGTCTTCGTACGAGTTCGAATCATATCATAAATACAAAGAGTGATTATTGTTTAAACACAAGACACATAAACATGACCTACTGAGCACTCCTCACTATCATTGGGATAAAATTACATTTGTACGTGGGCGTCATTCAAGACAAGGTAGATTCTATTACAGACAGGACGTTACAATGAAAGAAATAATTTGAAAGTTGTACACAATATTCACTTTGCTTTTTTTTAACCAGCGCTAACCAATACATTTTCCAGATTTTCGGATTAAATTAATAATTGCAAAAGCGTCTTTTTTCTTAGCATAATTTCTGAAAACTTTTAGTTTCACGTATCTACGATACTTTAGCAAATCTTCAAATATAATATGCACCTACTTATCCAGGCATATTTACATTGTAACCACACATTTAATTTAGATTTGTTGTAATTAAGCATTTTATGATTGGGATAAACGAGATATCCCGCTTAGCCTCCTACATAATAAAATTGTGTCCAGCTAAAGTGAGTAGGAACTAGAAGCGCCTGTGGTTAAAATTTCAAAGAAATATCTCCATAAATATGAAAGTTGGCATTGGGCCTGCGCAAAATATGGAAAATACGAAACTGATCGAAATGGGCAAATATAGACCATAACGGCTATCAATTAGCGAAAACCCGAAGTCTCTAGGTGGCCCAGGGGCCGAGATCTCGATGGAACGGATGGACGGACGGACGGACAGACGGAAACACAAGCACATAAGCTTTACCTTAACTTCGTTGTGTTACGATAAAAAATTTAATTTAAAACAAGATGTGAATATTCGGTATTTTAATTTACAGTAAGGTAACCAGATAAAAACATCTATAACACCCACACAAGGTTGCGCTTAGGAATGACACCGATATCCCATACAATAGCCCTTTATTCTAAAAATAACTGTGCTTTGCCATTTCGCGCGTCTTCTTACCCCGCCAGGTAGTTTGTACTATTCTCATAAAAACATAGCCGCTGGAGGACGCAGTCGACTTATGTGGCGGGACGAATTATGAGAGTCTAAAATTTATACAGCGCTGTCTATCTAGTGTAGTATGATCTTTGATTACTCTATCATTTATAAATTTTTTTTAATTTTTGGGCTCCTACTATTTTTTTGCTGCGTCGACTATGCTAAAGGAAACTAATACTAATAGATTTGTGAAATACGTAAGACCGTTTCAGGTAAAACTTTCAGTTTTATATGTAAAGTTGACCCACACTGTATAAATAGGATGTCCCCATTTTTCGAATCTACGCTAAAAGTGTAGTTAATTTGGTATCGTACTAAATTTTTAAAACAGACGGTTTTTGAATCATTTGAATTTTTTCAAAAAAATTCATCAATAACGCCCTTTCACAAAATAATTTTTCTTCTCCAATGTGTAAAATAGACATA